ACGAAGTCCTCCGTCCTTCTTGGGGACCGTGAAATATTTGGAATAAATCCCGCGGCAACAATCCGCCATCGGGACTTTCTCTATAGCGTTTTTTTGTGTCAGCGATTGTACCTCCTGTAGCAGGGCAGGAGACGCCGGGGTTCTGATAAAACGGGAGATTTTGGGAGTCAGAGAAAACTCTATGAGATAGCCATCTCTTATTATAGAGTGCACCCATTTGTCCGTAGAAATGGCGAGCCATGCGTGCAGGAAGGGTGCAAGGCGAGTCTGAGCAGTAAGGTTGAAGTCAAAGTCCCTGTTTGGGATTCTTAGGGAATTTCGACTTATAGGCACCGGACGATTGTCCCTTATTTTTCGGGGGAAAAGACCGTGACTGAGAGGGAGGTCTTTGCCATTGATCCGTAGGTGATTTGTTGTACGGTTGCCTGGTCGACCAAGGTTGCCTAGGCCACTGCTTGGATTTCGAGTATTTGGTCGTGGGGGAGATCCCCAAACTCTTGGACGTCTTGATACTCTTATCCATTTCCTGCAGAACCGTGTCAGTGGTGGAGCTAAACAATCCAGAACCTTCAAAGGGAAGGTCTTCCACCGAGGATCTGGTGTCATATGGCAATGATGAAGAGCGGAGCCAGGCATGTCTGCGTAACGCTACAGAGGTTGCTAGAGTCTTACTAGCGGATTCCAGGGAATGCTTGGCAGCACTAATTTGGTGTCTAGCCAAGACCATCCCTTCATTCTGAATCCTTTTAATCTGAGGTTGGCACTCTTTGGGCACGTGCGGGAGGAAATCATTCAAACGCTTCCATAAATTGAATTGATAACGGCCCATGCAGGCGGCATAGTTCGCCGTTTTAATGCCCATTGCACCGACAGTGTAGAATTTTCTACCAACCGAATCCAACTTTTTTCCTTCTTTGTCTGATGGAGTAGAGTGGCTCGCTTTTCCTTTCGTGGACGAGGAAACGACCAAAGAATTGGGCTTAGGATGTGTGTATAAAAACTCAGCCCCTGATTCCTGGACCTTGTACATGTGATCCAGACGCTTATTAGAGACATTAATGGAGGCTGGACGAGTCCAAAAGTCCTTGGTAGTTTGCAAGAGAACTTTTGTCATTGGTAGAGCCACGGAGGGCGAAGTGTTAGAGTGCATAATGTCAAAAACGTTATCATCCACAAAACTGGCAACGAGAGTAGGAGTCATAGATAGATCTAATGCCATGCGTTGAATAAAATCTCCATAAGACTTAACATCCTCTGATGGAGAAATAGGTAAATCCGCTTCCACATCTTGCGAGGTGGGCTGTGCATCTACATCCTCGATATGTTCAGAAAAGCCATCTGAATCGGAGGATACATTGGATGGTTCTGGAGATGATTCGAGTAATTCAGGTTGAGACGGTGCCGGTGTGTTAATCGGGGGCACAACCGGGTCTGGTGGATGCGTCGGTATCGACTGCTTCGATACCGATGGTCGATCTTGAAAGCGCGAAATGCGGGATGACACCGACTGACGATCCCATTCAGGTGGGGGTGGTATCGGGAGTGCCCAAGGGTATGGGTATCGATTCCCGTACAAATAATGCCATTGCCTCTCATCCCAAGTCAGGGGAGGAGAAGTTGGTCGGTGCCGATCCTCGACTCCACGTTCTGGGGAGGCATGAGAGGATTGACGGCTCGACATATCAGATTGCGACTGATTTGTCTGTTGAGTAAGGTCGATGTCGAGATCCGAACCGATCGGGTGAGGTTCTTGCGTGGGATCTCGACCCTGACTAGCCGAAACCTTATGGACTTTGGGTTTGTCCGTTTTAGGTTTCTTCGACTGCTGTGAGTCTTTGCCCTGCTTCCGGATCTTGGAAGGTACGGGGTGGTCCTTTATCGGCGTCGATCGTTTCGGTGCCGAAGCATCGATTGCGACCGTCGACGTCGATGATCCCGGAACGGGAGGACAAGTGTCCGCAGCCAAGGTGGACATCGAGGCGTGCCCGGACGTGTCCAACGGTGAAGAGGACCAGGTTTAGCAAAAATTTGTACTTAACAGACCGAAGCAGAAGGCGTCCTACCAGCGCGGCGGTCAGAAGAGAACTGGCGGGATCTGCGTGCCCCTCCTTGGTCATGCGCAGTGGAGCCGGCGCGTGACCTGGGAGAGGCGCGAAAATCCCTTTTGCTAGCTATCGGTACCGAGAAGGTCAGCGCAGGCGCAGAGTATTCCCAAGGGTGTGATGCACAGAGACCACGAAGATCAACATGATATTCAGGAAGTAAAGCAGAAGATAAGGGATGATACACACTCAGTGTGATAACTGTTTCACACTAGTTACAGGCATAGAGGCTATATCCTAGCATGACCTTTGCTCCCTCCGCTCTACCACCACCTCAGCAGGTCAAAAGACTCCTGGTCCTTTAAATAATGTTGTCCTTTGTATCTTGCTCTTGTAATGCCTTGCCTGCAAGAATACCATCATGACACTACCTGACTCATTTCCTTCGAGGTTCCTCTCAAAATTCCACCTTTTTTCTTTGGCAGAATCCTTTAAGTCCTTACTTGTCAATGAAAACAAACCTAAGTTCATGTCACTGAAATGAACATTTTTTTTCTTCCTCTTTACTCAGATAGTACACTGTATTGGAGTGGCACCAGGAAGTGGGTAGAACCACCTGGTCCCTGGGGAGCAGTAATAGAAAGTGAGGCCAGCTCAAGTAGACCTGCTGCCTGAGTCTGGCCAAAAGGTCACTGATGGGGTTGGCTTTTGGATACAGAAGCGGCCTTATCAAGAGAAGGCATTCTCCCAGGATGGAGGAGGTGGAGAGAAAGACGCTAACCTGAGCCCCTCCCTCAGCTCCCAGGTGGAAGGCAGATACTGGGACTTGATTTAAGAATGGCCACAGTGAAGAGTTGGAAAAGCAAAACAGACTGGAGAACTGAAGAGCAAGGAGGCAACAAGCAGTCTCATGGGTGCGTGGAAAGGTGAGACAACAAAGGTGGCCGGGAACACAGAGTGAGAAAACTACCCTGCGTGGGACTGAGGCTGTGAGATTGAACTGTCAATAAAACGTGTTGGCCAATAGCGTGACGTGCCTTATGTTTGCTGGTATGGGAGTTGGAAGGTCACCCTCTTCCCAGCCTGCTGAAGCCCTCCTCACTGACAGGCACCACACCCCTAGTCAGTGTTAATTGCTATGACAAGCACAAATGCCATTTGTCCATTGTACACAGAATAGAAAAATATATTGGAATTTGTCCCATGACAAGATGCAATTAATCAGTCCAGCCTGCAAAAGAGAAACATGAGCAAGCAACATATTTGTCCACTGCAGCATACAGATGTTTAAATTTAGCTGTGCATGATGTCTGGCTGTATGCTGTTTTCCCACTCTCTCTGTTCTCTTTCCCCCTGATTTTATATTGTAGGTTTCTTGGGCCTGAGACATATTGTCTCGTGCTCTGTTTAGGGCCACATACATGACACTATACAAATATATGTCAAACAAAAATATTAACAATGTATCAACTTGGATCTGGTTTAGGTTTTGAAAAATTTAACTCCCTCTTCCACGGCTTAAAATATGATATATATTGTTATTACAGTGCTTGAAATGTACTTGTACTAATAGATTCTACACATGTGAATTGGAAGAAATGTGCTACTTACTAAAGCAAAATAATTTTAACAATCATGCTAGAAAGTAACATGACACCAAGTTCACAGAAATCCTAAAACTACAGTCCCTTATTTAAGCCATTAGAACATTTGTATACAGTCACAATGCTGCTTCTGTTCTAAAATTTGCTTCTCCCACTACCTCACCTCTAAACCAAATCTCTTTGCAAAAATGCTTTGATGGTAAAGCAGTATGTTCTCATTTACTGATGCAGGTGTGTGAATTCCTTCAGGGTAATTTGCTTGGAAACCTGCTCCCACTGCATTTTGTATCCCCCACTTGATCTAAGAAACAGCTGCTCTGAATAAAATGTCATCTTGGCTTGGTGAAGACTGCCATTTATCCTCAGACATTATTACACTAAATAATGCTGGTTTGTAGTATTTGCAGCTATAGCATATTTGAAAATCACGTCTCCACTGATAACCATTTCTATGGAACCAAGGACATTCCAGCAGTTTGAGAAATTACGGTATTCTTATCTAGAGTAAATTACTTGTGACTTTAAAATCACCTTGAGGATTCTTTGCATTTCAGTACATTTAAACCCCCATCCTCAAAAGGTGAAGTTTAAATTAATGTTATGGGTTGGATCCCATAGAAAAGATCCACATGCACAAGGGGAGGGGGGTCATTTTAACTAATCCCCCCTCTTGTGGCAAACCACCAAATCATCCACCCAGGAACATTTGAGGGGGGAATTTAGCACCGTAGGAGGAGAGGAGAGGCAAGAAAGTCCATCCATGGAATTTAGATGGGATCCAACCCAGTGTGGTTATGTTCACAAGAACATTACTCCAGCTTAACTGATACATATTCAGTGTTAACATTAAGTTTATGTGTAGCCAACCAGAGCAGGGATATAGAAAGTTTAATAATGGGTAACATCCCAACTTCTTCACCGTTCATCCACAGGACCACTACAAGTACAGATCATACCTTTATTCTTTCAAGGAAGCCTCATATCCAACAAAAAGCACATGGCTTCTTGGTCTTCCTGAAACTTCGCTGAATGAAAAGAGTAATTGAACACCCTTACTCTTAAAATGTGTCTGAATAATAACAAAAAATAAGGAAAGCCCTATTGAATAGCCCCCACACTGTTCACTTATTTCACATGAATGCAGCTGGGTACATAATTCAATGTATGAAAGAAAAATGTGCTTTTAATTTCATTTGTGTTCCCATATTCATGGTGGTTTTGTCGAGGGATTCTAAAATCTGCAAATATATAGACACATCTGTAGGACATACAGACTAGCCTTTTTGCATAGGTGAAAAATTGACGTAGTTTCCTCCAGCTGTTAGGCACTAATGATAAATTTCCTTATACTCACAGATGTAGAAATATTCCCGTCCTGGCCTGAATTCAAATCCTAATGAGAAGGGAGTGAAGAGCTGGAATTTTTCTGAGAACTTTAATGGTCCATTTGAAGAATGAGGCCGATTGCACTCCCACCTCTTGAATCCTTTGGAGGTGTGATCACAGGAACTGTAGCCATCAAAGTTCACCATGTAAAGTATGTAGCGTTCAGTCTTATCTTCTGGCACTGAGTCCTCGTAATGAGGGCAGAATACATCCAAATAGTCATTGATGCAGACATCAATGTGGTAGTCACCCCGCTGGAATCTAAAAATGATACAAAGTAGAATGAGTTCAGTTCACCTAGCTACAAAACACATCCAAGCTGTTTTTTCCTCAAATCACCTTTCACCTTTCCCCCAGAAAAACAATGTTGTATAGGAACAGTCCAAGAAATAACTTGAGCAAGTGTGCTTTTTAACTTTGTGCCTCCAAATCTATAGAGCAGACTCTCTTTCCTTATGTTTCTTATAGAGAATCAGTCTTACATTTCTCTATTAGAAAGGAAAACCCGCATGCAATATACATAGAAACAGCAAACAAGGTAGGATATATCCACTATTAAAAAAACTCATTACAGGTATATGTACATTTCCTACAAACCCTCATTCATCTTTACTTTTTCATCATTGCTGGCAACATTTAGTCACGATCCAAGAAAACTCTGGTTTACCTTTGAAAGATTTTGAAAAGCAATATAATTCCACTGTCAACTTACACAGAAGAGATACTGCTGTTTAGATTAAAAAAACTCTAGGCTATGAATTATCTGTACTTAGCGGACAGTTGAAATAAGAGCCAGATGAGAAAGGCAGTAGAATGGACTTCTGAGTATGTGTGTGTACGCCATGTTAAGTAGCTGCAACCACTGTAATGTTGTTTTAGCTGTCATTGAAATAGTACAGGAGCTCAGTGCCATGTGTGGCCAAAATATTTCATTTGCGACTACCAATTTTACATAGTAGGTGGAAACTGAATGCATAGGGAAGTTTGCAAGTTACCCTGGAGACACTCTCTCAAATATACCAGATACAGCAGGCAAGTCCACACTGAGGTCAATGAGACCTACTTACAAGAAAATTTGCATAGGATATAAGTGTCTATAGACCTTTTGTGATGAACTAAAGGTTTGTTAATCAGCAGCAGGTAAACAAGAGAGCTTCTAAGTCACATGACTGAGAGTGGTGGGGGCAGGTTACTCGGAATTCTCAGGGAGTGACAGTTAAGAGTTGACCGTTGACAGATAAAGGTATTAGCTGGAGAGCTCTTGGAGAAAAAGGGAGCTTCTGGAGCAGAGTGTAAAAGCACGCCAGTAGTTTGAGGAAAACTGGGGCTGTATAATGCTCCTAACTGGTCCCCTCTAATGAGAGAGGATAGTGAATGGAGAGGAGAAACTGAATAACTCCTCAGTAGTCACATGCACACTCCTCCAAGGGAACTTGGGAGGTGGTTAAAGGAAGGACTAGGGGTCTGGAAGAGACTGTGGAAAAGCTGGAATAGTCTTACCAGTCAGTCTCAGGGAGCCAGACGGAGGAAGTCCAAGGTCTAACCACAGTAAGTTACCGGAGAGTGAAATCACAAATGGTATCAAGGTACCAAAGTCAGTCTGTGACAAACTTAGAGTTATAATACTACAGCCTATCTTAATGCATAGTGAAGCATTCATGCCAAACAGCAACCATATATTCTGTGCAGATATCCCCACCCCCCCGCTGAGTTTCTGTGAATAAAGAATTGTGCTGTTTGCCTTTTAAAAGCACTGGTGCCTGACTTATTGATAGGGATTCATACCTGGCAGACATGCTCAATCCACAGGAGATACAATCCCCGAAGAGACTTTTTAGAGTAAACTGGTCATCCCTCAGAAAGACAAGGTGATCAGTCAGAACAGAGTTAGATCTGAATCCAGTAGTATAAACTGAGGCCCCACTTGGTCGAGATTGTTGCACCTTTCTATGAAATTCTGTTTGTTCATCAAACAGATGCTTGCTGCATTGACTATATAAATCCCACAACTAATGACCTCATTTTCACAGGTTATGAACATGGCATTATGGAAACCTTATTCAGATGTAGGCACAACCTCTCTGCCAATTAAACATAGCTGTGTGACCAGATGACATTTCACCTAAATACTTTAAAGTTATTTGCTTTCTAACTTTTAAGCCTCTGGAGCATGAAAGAGAGTTAGCTATGTTTCATTATTTCTCCCAAATGTAATTTTTATCTTTAGTGGAAGTTTACAAATCTATAGAAACTGACCTGAGCAGCATGTAAAATAGTGACACTACTATATATATATACAGTGGCATAGGCAGAGTGTCTGAGAAGTAGGCACTGATGCCTGAGCAGTAGGCATTTCCACTTTGGACTGATTGGTTAACACTCCCTGCAGCACCACTGTTTCAATACAAGAAACACTGAGACAAGTTTAATTATAATACCCCCTTTCACCTGAGGTCATATTGTAAACTACCTGATAGACCAAAATTCGAGTCCAGTGGCACCTTTAAGACCAACAAAGTTTTATTCAAGGTATAAGCTTTCATGTGCAAGCACCCCTCCTCAAATACAGTTATCTGAAGAAGTGTGTGTGCACACGAAAGCTTATACCTTGAATAAAACTTTGTTAGTCTTAAAGGTGCCGCTGGAATCAAATTTTGTTTTGTTGCTTCAAACCAACACAGCTACCCACTTGAATCTACCTAAATTCTGCCAGCTGGAATTTGTGATCTAATTTGGGAAGAAATGATAATCCGTTGTCCAACAAGGATATATTCGCAACAACATTGTTGTCTCTTACAATCCTTTAGCCCCAATAGGTTGCTAACAGATGGACGAATACATGTAGTAGGGGAATAAAAGCCTGATAAATTTAATTCTAGTCGATGTGCAGGCACTTGATTCTCACCTAAAATGAACTAAGAACTAAGAAGTCACGTTTGCTTCAATCAAGCAGATACAATAGTGCTTAAAAGAGTTACACAAACATTAGAAAATTGCATTTGAATTATCTTCCCCTTATTGAAAGGATGAAGGACTTAAAGATTATCAGAGTGACTCTTTTAATTCATAGAAACTAAAGAGTACTACCACTAATGTGACTACATTTGTTCAAAAGCACCATATCATTAAAGAAAGAAGAGCTCATAATAAACCTGAATGACACAAGAAGGGGTAAAAATCCTATACTTGCCTACCAGTAAAGACCAGTTTAGTGTTGTTAGGACCTTGGCTGTCATGATAATGATCACTGTGAATGGGTGGTTTTAGCAGTAATTAATGGGGATGGTGAAGATGGACCTCTAGCAAGTTATGCAACATGGTGCCCAGCAGGGAGCACTGATTAAGAGCTCTCCTGCCCGTTGCTGTTAATGATTCTCTAATTTAATCTAAATGAATGGAAACCTTAACAACAGAGTTTCTACCTCAACCTAGGATGTTGAGAGACTCTCTGCAAGTTCTGTGGTCTGGTGGGCTGATGCGGAGTCAAAGAAAATGCAGAGAGAAGGAGGACAATTCTTGGTTGTGATGTGAGTCCCTATTGTTGAAGATGCTGGTCGAACGCTCACTGACTACATAATCGTGACTGGCCTGGGTGCTGCAGTGCTGGGAAACTTCCCTATGGAGTGGTTCTTCCCTACAGATTGACAAAAGTGAGGGTCGTCTGACCAAACATCCACCGGCCTTGCTGTTACTGCTGGGCCCAACCACTGCAGTGTGGATTGCTCTTGCAGGGTCACTGTTACCCCTAGCTCTTTCACCACTAATTCTCACCTGGCACTATTGTTTAGGGTAATCAGAACATTATCTTTTCTTATGGAGAGGGCAAGAAACCTAGTAATTCGGACATAAGCTGTGAGGCATTTGTGAGCCTCTTGGTCATCTTTGGATTCAGTGACAACTTCTGGCTCGCTGAGGCTGATGTCAAAAAGAAAAAAAACAGGTTGCTTACCTGTAACTGATGACGTTTGAGTGGTCATCTATGCATTCATACCAATGGATTAAGGTGCCTGCGTCGACCTCGATTCGGGAAACTTCTATCAAGCTCAAGGAGAGATTTGGAGCCCCTCCCCCAAGCATGCACAGAAACTCCAGCACATGTGCTCAGAGGGCAGGGCTCCAGTATCCCACCAGTTCCTTCTGACCACTGCAACCTCTCAGTAACGAAGTAGATGTGAAAGGCTGACAGTAGTGGGGAAGGAGGATGGGTGGTGTGAATGCATAGATGACCACTCAAAGATCATCAGTTACAGGTAAGCAAACTGTTTATCTTCGTCATGGTCTCTATGCATCACACCTATGGGAGATTAGCAAGCTCAGGCCTACCTGGAGGAGGGTGCTGGCAGCATCTCAGGAAACCACAGATTGCAGCACTGAACGGCCCCGTCAGGAACACTGATGAGCATGAACATCAAGGACATAGTGCTGGGAAACGTGTTTGGAGATGCCCAAGAAGCAGCGTGGCAGATATCTTGCAGGGGCACCCTTCGCAGAAAGGCTGAAGATGTGGAGATCGCCCAGGTAGAATGAGCTTTAGGTGCGACAGGTAAAGGTCTCTTCTCCAGGAGGTAACAGAAGCGAATAATCTCAACCAGCCATTTAGAAAGTCTCTGAGTTGAGATTTTACACCCCTTAGAACTCAGGGCATATGAAACAAACAGGTGCCGGTCTTTACGAGTCAAACTTGTCCTATGCAGATAGAATATCTTCGGTGGCGGCTCCCACCTGGTGGAATGAGCTCCCGAAAGAGACTCGGGCCCTGCGGGACTTAGTGCAGTTCCGCAGGGCCTGCAAGACGGAGCTCTTCCGCCAGGCTTTCGAGGGGGAGCCGCCGCCGCCACTGTTCCATCAATGATATTTCCAACCATCTACTCCATATAGTAGGGGTAGATGTCGCCTAATAGAGCTGGGGGAACATTCTTCCTGGTGCCTCTGCTGTAAACAACCTCCCGCCAATGTGTGGATGTTGGCCATCTTGGATTTTATGTAAATCAATTAGCACCAAATTTTATGTCAGATATATTGTTTTATCATGCTGTTGTTTGTATGTATATTTTAACCTTTGTAAGCCGCCCCAAGCTGAATATTGGATGGGGTGGGATATAAATCCCTAAATAAATAAATAAAATAAATAAATAAGAATGCCCGCTTCACATTCAGAGAATGCCACAGGCGCTCAATGTCCCGTCTTCGGATTGGGGTAGAAGTCTGGTAATATCAGTTGTTTATTCAAGTGAAAGTCTGAAACCACCTTTGGCAAGAAG